GAACTTACCCTAACTACACCTCATTTCCCCTGCAATTCCTGAAAGAATGTATTCAAGGAAGCTGCAGCAAAGCACAAAGCACATTCGAAATATCACGTAGAACAGTTGCCTTATGCGAAAGTTTGTATGATGTTTTGCATTAACATCTGAGATTTTAATTTTTTATAACGTTACTACTTATTGCTTTATTTCATGTTATTATATTTTTAAATTCTGCCTTGTATAAACATTTTTGGCGTGTACTAACCAAAAATGGTAATGTATTCTTGCTCTATAGACCTCCGGAAATGACGGGAAGTGATACATCTACTCCTCTCACCCTCCCAATTAAGTCTTTCAAAATTATTCTCTTTCTCTCTTCGCAGCTCATTCCCCACCCCCTCCGCCCTTCTAGTACTCCCTAACACATACAGACAGCATTCTCTTCTTTCTCACATTTCATTTTCCCACATTTTCAAGAACTTTTTTTCTCCGTGTCCTTTCGAAAATAGTTCCCCCCCATTCTTTCCCCGCAGCCTTCCTAATCTCCTTGTCCCCTCGACGCACTCTCCCCCTTCCCCGCGAGCGCTCGTGGCGGTCTCTTGCGGGCGAGCGGTCAGGCCTCGGGGCCCTGCGATTCATCTCCGTCGCTGCCTCTTAAATCGAGGGACTGAGGCATAAGGCGCGGGCTGAAGGAAAACACCGTCCCCGCTCCTTCCCTTCCACTGCTTTAGTTTTCCCCTCCCTGCCGCTACGCACGCCCCCGCCCCGCTGGATGCCGGCCGCGCCCGCGCTCGCAGTCTGCTCTGCGTCTCCGTCGCCGCCGCTGCAGAGTGTAATCTCCTCTGGCATCGCCGTCTCCCGACCACGAGAGGTGGTTAAGTGCTTCAATTGCATCGTTTATTTCAGAAAACCGCCAAACGCCAAAATACAAAACACGCTTTAGTGACGGATTATTGTTGCAGGAGAACAGTTTAGTGCATCATTTATATAAAAAATACTCGTATCCATTTGTCACATCCATTAATAAAAAAAATATTTTGAAATCTAAAAAATTGGGAAACTTATTCTTAGTTTTCTCGAAATTTGGCGTTTGACAGGTTTCTGAAATAAACGATTCAATTGAGTGACTCTGCAGTGACTCTGACCGGGAGGTCCTAGAGTTCTACTATCTACCGTGGCAGGATTTTCGACGCCAGCCAGATGGCTAGGTTGCATTCAGTCGCTGTCTGGAGAATTCTAAGGGCTGGCTGCTCTGAACGGTGGTTTTTCAGTGTTTTTTCCAACCAACACATGACGAATGCCGGAGCAGTACCCTAACAAACGGGCCACGGACCGTGCGCAATCTTTCCTTCCTCCTCCTTGCCCTATCCTCACCTCATCCTCACTTTCACTAACATTCACTACCCTACCATACATCTCATTAGAAAGGAATCTTAAAGCTTCTCCCTTCTGGAGCAATGCCCCGTTGTTGGGAGAAATGTGGTTGAGCAATGTCCTTTGATCAACGTCGCATTTAAACATCCAGCGAGGAAAGATCACCGCCATCTCTCGAGGAAAACCCAAGCACTTCACTTTCGGCAGTAATGCCCTTAGCAGTTGAGGCGCCCTGACTCATTAATCAATCCCACAATAAATAAACCATCTCCCCCGTTTCTCCCGCCACCGCAGCAACCGCTTTCCCTGCCGTTTGTCATCTGTGTCGGTGTCCCTTCATTTCCGTCGCTACGACCATTCGTCGCTGCCCCCCACCCGTGTTGGCGTCGCCACTTCCATCGCTCTCTCCACCACTGTCTCAACTCTTAGCGCCACCCCCGCCCCCCGCTGCTGCAACCACTCCCACCATCTTTTTCTATGGCCCCATTACCCGTCCTCGCAATTACTGTCACCAGCGTCCGGCACCGAACTCCCACTGCTCATTTTTGCTCACAGCGACACTTCTGTCTCCTTCCTTCTGTGTACTTCTGCTCCCTCTACATTCATTGTCTGTCATCGAAGAACGCTGTCGCCACTGGCTGAGGCTATGCGAGACTCGCCTCTCGCCACTGGCCGAGGCTGTCGACGCTCCCGCTGCGATCCGTCACTCGCCTCCGTCACCACCTGCACCAAATCCGCACTATCTCCACTTCCGCACCGCCACCATCGCTTCCACCGTACTCACCACCACTACTCCCTCTCCACATCACCGTCAACCGTACAATTTGCATTGCTTTCATTGCCATCGCCGCTACACTGAACTTCCGACCTCACCTCCACTTTCTCTCTGCCCCCGGACCAGATGAGTGTTGCTCAAAGCTAGCATTACCGCTGACTCCTGCGTCGTCGTCGCTGCGGTTTGAGTCCCAAAGGTGACATATTTTCCACACTACCTTCATAACAAGGTTTAATTCTGCCACTGTCTGAAGGAGAATTCTAACAGCCGATTGCTTGATCGGTAGTTTTCCGTGGTTTCTCCAATCAGTATCAGGAGGATGCCCTACACGATAGTAACAAACGGGCTGCGGATCGCACTCGATTTTCCTCTGTCTCGTCCTATCTTCTTCCCTTACTCCGCTTACACTTTTTTGCAATACACTACCATATACGCCGGGAGACCAGTTCAGAGATTAAACTTTCTCCTGGCTGGATTGGTGCCCCACTGGGTGAAGACACCTGGAGGGTGAAATCACCGACTGCCGCCGTGTGGGACACCTTAAGTCACCATCTGGCGACGTAGGAATCACCTGCACCTTCCATCATAAAACATTCACTATACTCCTTGACTACACTCGGCTTCCACTACCTGCATCCACCCTCGCCCCCAATACTGTCTTCTCATTTATGCCCCCCAGCTAAATTTATTTCTACATCTTCCGAATGCGCCTCCATCATCTGCCATCGAAGACGCCACCGCCTCTTCAGCTTCTTTCTCCACCTCCAGCGCTCCCGTCGCAGTCGGCCCCCCTGCAAAAAGCGGAGAAGCCCGGCCTACTTGGGGTGGGCGGCGGCGGCGATTTGAAAGCCTGCGAATAAACTCCCGAGGGCGAATGGGCCTCTTTAGGCGCGCGGCTGCGCAGGCCGGGAAATCGAATGAATGAGCGATGCTGTCTCGGTGGCTGCCGCCTGCTTTTTTTGCTGCGGGAGGCAGGCGCGCGTTTCCCTGCTAAATAAAACAGAACCGGACGAGTTTGCACATGAGAACAAAATACAACATACGGCTCTTATATTATTCCACTGTGTTCTATGTAAACTTGTTAATTCATTGGTATATAATCTTATTTAACGGACACTTATTTAATTTCCACTTTCTTTTTGTGTTACCTCAGCCCTCGTGATTATCTTTTAAATACAGTACTTCTTGACCTGTCTCATCTTTTTTAGAGTATTTTCATCTACTTTCGTTGTACATTGAAACTTAATGTTGAATAATACCTTTAAGAATATGTGGCATTGCTTTTCTTCTAATCACACAATATATTCTGTTCTGCACCGAACAAGTTTAAAAGAGTCAGTCAGATTCAGGGATTCAGGGTTTTATTATCCACTACGTATTTATGAATAGTCATATTTTCCTGTATAGTTTACTCATTACACCCTCATCTCCTCCGACTCGTACTTCCGTTACCCACTTATGTCTCCCGGTATCTATTTTTCCTTAATCTTACAAACCTGATTCTACCTCTCTTTGACTCTCCCTGCTCCCTTTCCCACGCTTTCTTTTCCACATTTCTTTCTCCTTCTTATTTGTTTTTGAATATTTCATTTCGTTTTGACTTTATTAATTTCATCCCACTTTCTTCCACTTCTAAACCTCTAACACTTGTTCTTAAAATTCTCGAATTTTCCTCCCTCACTTCACCAAACCCTGCGCTTATATCGTCGTAGATTCTTACTCCTTAAAACATTTTCTGTTTTTAAAAGATATAGGACTTTAATTATATATGCTTATGTAGGTACTCTCCTATTTATGTAGGTCTTATAAAATTCTGGGTGGTTCATTTAAACTGAACCGCAGAAATATCTGGAAATATTGTATAAAAAATGTTTCAAATAAAAGCTGCATATGATCGAGGAGCGAAGTGAACACAACGTGCAAGAAACGCCAGTATTCGTGGAAAGATCTTTATTATAATATTGTCGTTACGGTAATAGAAGTAGTCAACTGATACAAAGGAGGGTCAACAGTTAACCGGGAGAGGTCCAAGAAACAGACGAGTTACCAATCAGTCGCTCACTGTCGTGTGGGTAGAGGGAACAATTTAATGAAGGCCCCATTGTTATTCAGTTTCAGTGTGGTGGAAAATAGATAACTTAGCCAGATTTATTTTTTGATTTGTGATACATCGCGTTATATCAATAAAATATCCTAATTGTGAACAATCAAGCTCAATCCATAAAATAATGGTCATGATGCAATACCCGAAACTAAGCGACAGTCGCGCGTAGCTTTATTTATTAGAGTGAGACAGATGAATACGATTTATTAGGAAAGGATATGCCACATGGTTGTAAGTTTACTCCTTTTAAGAATTCTTCCCTCGATTACGTGATGAGGCTCCATGGGATGAATAGAAGAATTAGGAATGAAACATACGAAATGTAATATTAATTGATATTTGTTCCTTAGGGGTTTTAGATGTTGTCACCTAAACGTTCAAGAATGCATAAATTATTTATTTGGAGATGTGTGAAGTATATAAATTATATTTTCAAAATCTTCTAAACTTTTTTTTTCATTATTACTACAATTTATTTAAAAAATATTTTTAATGAGTGTTGCAACAAAAAAAATATATTTTCCTAATTTGGGAGTTAAGATACGAACGAAAATAAAACACTTTCATTATAAAAGTTGATTCAAGTTATTTTATACAAGAATTAATAGACTGTCAGTAATTGGAAAACACTTAATGAGAGAAAAATAAAACTAATATTGATATTGTATAATACCAGTATTGAAATTCTTATATTAATATTAAATTGTTTTCTGTCTGTTTCAGGTGAGATTACATTCACACGAAGTGTTTGAACAAGTGTTTGTGGAAATTTAAGTTCGGAACATAATCATCTGGTGTTTGGAGCGCGAGATACAACCTTCAAATGGAGGTAAGAAGAAATACGAAAGTTATGGAATTAGTATGGGAAGGAGATACCGGACGGGTTATTTTCAGAATAGATGCAACTTAGAAAATAATTGGATTGCTCTGCAGTGTGGTTGAAGGTTGGTTAATTTAACACAGTATTTTCAAATCTGGTAATCTGAAAAGGTCTTTCCCTCTATAATTCACTCACTTGTCTTGCTTCTGGTCAAACTAGTTGAATAAGTACTTAGAGTGCCCTTTAATGCTAATTTACATAAACTTTGTGCTATTTAACTACTGACCAAAACAGAAAAGTTTTTTGTTTTGTTTAACGATTACATGTGAATTTATGCGTGATTGAAAAAGGTGTTAAAAATCGTGTTTCTTTTATTTATATTCGTGAATGTAGTACGTACTGCATTCTGAACATTTTATTACGTAATTTTGTTACTTGTTTTTAAAATAATTGTTAACTAATATCAATTTAACCTACTTCGCAAGAGGTAAAGTTTAGCAGCAAATATACACGGGATAATACTCATACATTCTATAATTACTTAATATCCGTGTTTTTTCTGTAGCCCTCTAAAGGCGCTTAGAGCGTCTCTCTGCGCCGTGCCTGGTCGATCGTTGGTTCCGATTTGCATGCCAGGAGGGCGTCTCCGGGGCTTGGAGGCTCTCTGAACGCCCTTCATGTGTTTCTCTGCATCCAGGGAGGTAATTTGTTTTATTTCGGCTGCTACGATACCATCTACCTCCCTCCAGCGCCCCGTGGCGGGGTCGCCGGATATTTCGGCTTGCGATTGTCTCTGCCTCGGGTTTAAATATATCTGCTCACGTAACAAATTGATACGGCCACGGCGGCGGTTTTATTGCTGGACGTTTTCAGACGACTAGCAAACCGCGTGGGGTTATACATCACCAAAAGACAGACTGTCTCTGTTCCTAGCAGGAGTCACCTGCCATTTTTGATCACCGAAATAGACAATGTAATTGAGAATAAGGAGTGTTCAATCGATAGAAATGCAGAAATGGTGTATTATCAGCCAACACACTTGCCAAGAATGTAAACTCAATGATTGAGATGAAAAGATACCTGAATATTTATATAACATAATGTTGTTTGTGAACGAAGGTCATTACAATTTCTAGGTCAAGAGAGCGTAATATTTTTCAGTGATCGTGTTTTTTAAATGATGCAAACTGATCACAATATATATGTTATTGCCATAAGTACATATGGCGAAGAAAATTTCTTCATTGACCTATTTTTGGATGAAACAAACAAGTATACGTTACCATAAACGTACCACAAAATTGATGGTTCTGTGAAAATTTCCATAATGCTATATAATTATGACGTATGTTTTATTCCTAGTATGCGATGTAATTGTAGAAATCCACATTCCTTAAATTAAAATAATTCTTTCAAGAAATAAGGATGATGTTTGGTCTATTATTCACATATACATCACACATACAAGAAAAATTAGAGTCGAGATATTTTACTCTACTATTTTGTTCTTTTAGAAATTGCAATTATGGCTAATTAACTTTTTTCCTATTGCTAATGAAAACAATAGGTTATTCAATTTTCACTTCCTCTTTGGCTACACTATTAATACTCATAGGAACGCTTGTGCCTAAAAGATTTCTAATTGTTCATATCCTACTTGCTACGAATCTAATTAACTTTTTTAATTATAGCTTTTGATTTAAATATATAACGTATGTAAAACATATTTGTTTTTGATTGGTCAAGCATTTTAAATAAAATATTGACAAAGGAATAGTTAAAATGTGCCACATTACGTTAATAATCTAAGCTATGCATATCCACACGGAAGGAGCTATTATTCACACATCTGACACACGCCATTCAATAAACCCCAAACACCTTTATACTTCACCGAATACATATACCCATTTCCTTCATTCCATTCCAAAAGAAACCTTCCGGCCTACATAACGGATCGTAAATTACGAATACTCCACCCATCAGCTATTCCACACTTCGCAGACACGCAAGACCTGATGAGCTTGCTATTCATAGCGACTCCGAGAAAACGGGCAGTTTTCGCTCGGCGATTGTTTGTCTGAGGAACGCAAACGGCACTTGTAGTCAGAACGATCTTTTACCGTTCTCAGAAGTCCGCACACCACCTACAGTACCACAGCAGTTAGCCTCTTTCCTGCGCGATTGCTCCTTTTATAGCTTCCTTCCTGAGCGTAGCGTCGGGTGGCCTGCGCCTCGCAAAAACTCGGCCTCCTGCAATTACCAGCGCTCTTCTTTTTGCTTAATCGCCGCCACCGCCGCCTGGAGATCGGACGCCGGATAAAAAGTCGGCTCAATTACTGGCCGATGCACCACCTCCTCTTGGTTGTTGTTTGTATTGAGCGGTCAGAACCGGAAGAACGAGAAAATTTCGCCAAAGTTTTCGCTCGCTGGCGAAGGAAAATATAGCGGCGGAAACGACCTTCACCGTTCTTGCAGGAGGGGGTTAGCAGGGAATTGCCTCTAGTTTGGTCTGTGTACCTTCATGTCTCTCGTTTATGGCGTTTTCTTTCTAATTGTAGGCTCGCAATGGAATGTATGATGTAAATGAGAAAAATATTTTTGAACATAACGTTGTACTCCTGCATATTTTGTTTGCTTTTTATTGTTTCCTTTTAAGTGAATACTGATACGTGCATTATAGTAGTGCTATTACCTTCTGTAACTATTCAATGTAAATTAATATTAAATATATTTCAGTTCAAATTAATTAGAAATTATTCAATCCCTCTTGAGATACAACATTGGAACGCAAATCAAACTATGAGACGAGATATGGTAAATAACAGATTAAAACATTTCAATATCTGTACATTTTCTTAAAGTTTGTTTGCGTGCGTTTTTGGAACTCGTTGCAGAGGCCACAAATTAACTGTAGTTTAGGAATGAAAAATCATAATATACCACTTGCGTTCCATAACTTGCTAAGAACATGTAAAAAGTTAACGAACGCTTTTTATTAAAAGTCATATTTGTATCAGTTCGAGAAATATACTTGTAGATTGCAATGTGAATTATTCACGTAACTATAATAGTTTAAGATAAAATGACAAATTAAAGAAAATCAAGTGAAATAATTCAATTCTGCGCCATATATAAGTAATAGTAAGTCATATTTTTAACCTATGGGTAATATTGTTTACATTCAGGATAAGTGCTGGAATTTGCCAGTATAATTAATGTAAATACTCTGAGAAATTGCATGGTTGGGCAGACAAAAAATATATATTTTCAAACAAGATTTTAGTTGATACAAATAATTAAGAATACGAAAAGAGGCATACATTTAAAACACAACCGTTTTATTAACGCACACAGTTTCAAAATTGTTTTCTGTACGATAACGTCAAAATTACAAATTTGTAAGGCCCCTTTTAAAACTTGGATCAGGTACTGAAAACAATGCGAGATAAAGGATAGTTAACTGTAAATTGTTCATTTCGTAACAGAAGTACCTTCATGTGACGGAAAATCCATATTTAAGTAAAAGGTAAACAAGTAAATGAGATGGTATGTCCGAAGACAACTACGAAAATATTTTTCATGACAAATTTATGAACACAAAACTGACATTATGAATAGATTGTAAAATCCGAAGAATGGGGTCATTTCCCATTGGTTTGATAATTCCACTCGGCGGCGTCTTCCAATCGCTTGGAAGCCCCGCTTTGTCCATGTCGGCCTGATTGATCGCTCATCGGTCATGCACTATGAAGGCGGGTAAGAGCGCATGAAGATTTCAGGAGTTCTCCAGTGGCGGCCTTGCTCGCCATGAAGGCTTCTGCGAAGGCGCGGAGTAAACCAAAGGCCGTCTGCCATCTCCCGGAGATTAATTTTCGATGATGCGCACACGCCAACTCCGTTTCGGAAGAGTTACGTTCGGACAACGGAGATCTCTTGTTTATTGTTGTTTTGACTGTTTTACTGAAGCAATTTTCAATATCTGATCCCTTTATTTCGACAATCATATATAAAGAAAAACATATGTTTGAAATGTATTTATATTAAAATAAACTACTTGATAAAGTATGAATAAGGATGATTGTCGTAAAGGATCATACATTGAAAATGTAGATATCTGTTATGTAATTTCTCTTCGCTAGTTAGGAATAGGGTAACAAGATAACCTCGACACAAACTCACACACAGACACTTCTGCACTTTGTGAATCAGAACTTTACAGAGATCGAACAGATTGAAACTCCGATATCGAGAGGGGGAAAATTAGCGTCTTCTCTGCCAACATTCAGAGCTCTCTGACGATTTGATATTGCGAGTATCAGACGGACGTTTGTCTAGTTATTAGGATTTTAACTAGATATTCTTGCCTTCTAAAAGCGTACCAATAGTTAACAGTTTAGTTAACAAAAGCAACAATTCGACTCCAATTTGGGGTTTCTTCAAGACATAGTGGGTTATACGTAATGCAGAGACAAATTACGATTAGAATATGTCTGTAAAATTTGTTCAGACTGCAAATAACGCCCGTTTGTATCTTCTACAGCACATTTGTTGACGTCATGCCTGCAAAAAATGACTTCTCTAAAATGTATTATTTTTTTGCTTGGCATTGATAAGTAATTTCAGTCGTCGACAAATAATTTTCCCATAGAGGCATTTTATTTTTATGGAAAAGTAAATTTCGTTACTTTTTCTGCTTGATTGTATAATTTCAAATTAAGTTATCAAAGTCTCACAATTTAAATTTTAAAAGACAATTTTGATGAGAACTTATTTTTTTATTTAATATGTTTAATAAAAAATGCATTTTCTTTCGACATTTGTATTGGTTGGTTGGTTGCTTGCTTGCTTGCTTGTTAGAGATTCTGGGCGCTTTAGATCGTGGGGTCATTAGTCCCGTAAGTGCAGTGCATGTTTCCCCTCGAGAGATGGCGGTGATCTTGCTCCACTGGATGGCGAGATCCGGTGTCGACCTACCGTCGGCAAGCGGGGTTTCCCTACAAGGTATCTCCCATCAATGGGGCACCGCTTAGTCGCAACAAGCTGTAACCCCTGATCCCTATCTCCCGGCATGTGTAGTAGTGTAACGGATCGAAGTGTAAGTGTGTAAGGGAAGAGGATAGGAGAAGGAAGAGGTAGGAAACATCGCGCGCGGCCCAAGACCCTTTTTTTTAGGGTACTGCATCGGCATTCTCCTTGTGTTGATCGAAAAAAAAACCACAAAAAACTACCGATCAGAGCAGCCGCCTCTAGAATTCTCCTATAGAGGAGAAGTGAACTTGTCGTGGACTTTATGAGGTAATGCGGTGAAATATACGTAGACATGAGAACGTCACATGGATACATGATGTTCACGCAACTTTCATGAGCCTCATCTCCTACAGACGGCAACTGAATTCGACCTAGCTGACAAGCTAATGTCAAAAATCTTGCAACGGTCGGGACACAATACTACGCCCTCCCGGTCACAGACGCTGCGGTGACATCAGTTGATCCACTGAACCACCTCCCCTTGTGACTTTTCTATTCTTTCACAAACCCAAATACTCAAAATAATAAATAAACGCAATTGGAAATTTGACTTTGAGATATTCACGTTGACATACTAGGAAGACACAGGTGCTAGTTTCGCAGATAAATAAGGCGTAATACGCTGTCTGCGTCTGCTGGCGAGCAATAAAAAAGAGAAGAGAAGTCGCGCGCCGAGGCCCCCCGCCCCCGGTGAGCGGCGCCGTGATCGATGGCTGTTTATGGGCGAGCGGTGCGGACCGCGTGGCATCTAGAGCGCGTGGCGTCCGCGCGGAATTCGCCAGGGACTGCCAGCGCCCCCGATGGGCGCTCAGCGAACGGGGGGGGGGGGTAGGAGCGGAGCGACGAGGCGGCTGAGTAGAGGCAGAGCGCCTCGCGAGATCGCAGGCACCGCTATAAAGCAGCCCGTGACAGCAGAGTACACAACTTGCGAATGCCCAGCCGCCTGACGCATCTTTTTCGACTGGGCACTGGTGACTCAAGTGTTTCGCCTCCGCCGGCGTTGCGTAAATATCTTCTCCCGCAAAATATTCCCGATGCAATAAGCAATAATATGGTATACTGTGTGCCCTAATAAGCTTAAACCGATAATCGGATTTTTATGAACTATATGGAAAAGAATGAGAAAGAAAGATCGTGCGCGGTCCGTGGCCCATTTGTTAGGGTACTGCTTTGGCATTCACCTGGTATTGATCGGAGAAACTACGGAAAACCACCGATCAGAGCCGCCGGACGCTAGAATTCTCCTCCAGACAGCGACTGAATTTCATCTAGATATCTAGCTGTTGTCGAAAATCCCGCCACAGTCGGTACTCGAACTTTGGACCTCCTGTCAGAGGTACTGAAGTGACATCTTTTGAGCCACCTCTTCAGGAGGAGTAGTTAATTATAGTGGGGCGTAGCGAAAATGTGTGTATATATATATATATATATATATATATATATTATATATATATATATATATAACTTTGATTTGACACAAGATAATCCTGTATTAAAGGTGATTAATAAATACTGAGGCAACGATGGTGTCCTCAGCTATTTTGTATTAAAAAAACACATGACACAACTCACAACAGTGGCGTGGTGGTTACATATCCCCCATAAAGTCCACGTGAATTGCTCATGAAAGTTGCGTCAACATCATGTATCCATGTGACGTTCTCATGTCTACGTATATTTCACCGCATTACCTCATAAAGTCCACGACAAGTTCACTTGGGAACGAATAGTGTATGGGAATAGCATCAATAGTCTGGTTGCTCTAATCTGTCGCCGCCCCGTTTCAAATAAGTTCTTAGAGAAAACTGGAATACTCGAATCAACTCCTTCCTTCCTCATCCTTAATTCTTATATATATTATATATTAGATATATATATATATATATATATAATATCATCCAACACACATATATACACAGAGAAGAACTTACTTTTTGGAAAACCATTTGGGCAGCTTAAGTTGGAATGTCTTAAAATGGAGACCCATATGTTATTTGCACGATACACTAGAAACTGGCCGCATGAACATATGAAAATAATATGATTGAGGGAATTGGTCTTTTACATTTATTTATTGTTACTTATTTAGATGATTTCTCTAATAAAGATTTAGAATGACAACATTTTCAAATATTGACAACTTTAGAGAAGAGAATGTGATTGCACAATTGATGATTGATTAATTGGCGAATCTGACAACTCGCGACCCTAAAGTAAAAAGGTTCTATCTACAGCGCAGTAAATTTTATAGGAGTGCATTTCAAAGTTTTCGCTCTCTCTAAAATAAAATATATTTTATTAAATGTATTCCAATTTGGGAATCAACTTGACATCGTAGCATAAAAGTGTAGATTGATAATTATTTTAAACGCACCGTAACTTTGGTAGAAAACAAGTCTCTATTTTTACAAATATAACCTTCTTACTCTCAATATGTATTTTCAAGTTCGACAACATTAAATGAAATTTTTCTATTTACTGTCAAACGTATCGTCATGCAAAAAATAGGTGATCAGAATTCATTACCTTTCATATCTGTTTGTATCCGGGAATGAACTGTGTCTACTTCCTGAATACAAGAGTGACCAGGAGTAGAGTATTTCGTGTCATCGATTTGTGGGTGTCGTGTGAGAATGTTTTTAAAGTCTAGAGACATCTGGACATTTGGGATACACAGCTGTCGCACTTGTCATACTTTCATTTCAAATCATTAGAAATATTATTTTCCAATTCATTAATTGTGTATTCCTCTCACCGATAACATCTGTGCGCTTTTGGCTCTAAGAAATCCAAATTCAATTCTTCATTAAATATTTTCCGATATATAGATAATTTTACCAGTTGACGTATTTCGTTTACACAACAATCCTTGTTGAATTATGCCAGGATATTGTGTCAACAACATTGACTGAGATCTTCATTATTTTAATGTCGCGTTTAGCAGAAAATGTCACCGGGGAAAAGAAACATTGGTCGATGTAACATTATTTCCTTGTAAGCTAACGACTCTTCGTATTATCGCTAGGGTCTCTCATATTACCCACAAGGTGATCGCACCGTTAAGACACAAACCATGAAAAGAAACATACGCTGGAAGAAGGCCCATACTCTCTAGTCCATACTAATTAATAAAGGTAGAAACATACGTCAATTGTTTCCTGTCCCGCACATAGATAGTTATTTTATTTAAAAAGGAACTAAATGTCGCATTTTTCATTATTACCATCGCGTTCCTCGTAATTTTCTCTAAAGGACTTTATTTTTTCTACTTAGTTTTTCCAAAATAGATTTGGCAACAGTGCACGAGATTCTTTCATAAAAATAACACAGTCCTTAAGATCCCTTTGTGCCATCTCGTCGTCAAAATGAGTGTAGGATTGCTGCATGAAGCGAAGAGACGAGTGCACTCAGATCCAACCAACCTGCGGATGCAAAGGGCTTAATTTAGAGCGCGGGCGGCTGAACGAGGCGGAATTGGAGCGCCTCATGTGCGGGCGCCGCGCCTCACCCTGCGGCACGCCGCCGCGCGCGCGGTGACCTTGGCGCGTCGATAGGCGCCATAAAGCGGAGCGGTGGGTGGCGAGGGTCAGGGCGAGGGCGCGGGCGCGGGCGCGAGCGCTGCGGCAGAGGTAGCCAGCGCCGCCCGCGCAAGGCCGAGCGCCGACCTTGCCGCCTCGCCCCCGCGCCGGTCAAGGTAGCCTACGGGCAAGGAAGAGCACGGCCAAGTGGTGATTGGATTCTTTAAATGACTGCTAAATTAAATAGAATATAAGAACAAAAAATGTTATTAGGTAATGTGTTATTCGGGTGTTCAGTAATTACTTACTTGGGTGTTGAGTATTTACGTACTTAAGAACCTTTATGTTATTATAAGTTTGAATGTAAAAAATATTATTACATTTCCCTCAGTGTTTATGTTCAAGAACTGTATAAATTTGAAGCTGTCCTCTTACGTGAGTCATGAATAATATTGGTCCTAGGTAAGCTTCATCCCCTTTTCAAATAGAATAACATAATAACTACATTTTCGTACAATATGTTCTATTCTTTAGAATAAATGTGATAATTTTCATTTCAGTACTTGACAAAGTCAAAAAAAAATCTTGGTCGAAACGCTAAAAAAGTACTGCAAAACTCAAGATAATTAATTTTATTTTTTTAATAATTAATAATGTCTTTAATTTCTTGGGATCAAAATAGAACTACAAAGTCTAATAGGCAATTTTCTGCTACAAATTACAAACTACAAATCATGATCGGATTTTTGTTTCTCTTTTGCCTGAAACAAAATTGAATTCATCAATAACTGAAAACTCAGGTGTTTCAGAGTGAATGTTACATACTTCTAAGGCTTGTAGCGGCATCGATCACTTATTGACAATTCATTTGTGGTGCAAAATTTTACATACCAAAAACACACACAAAATTGCTTTGTTGAGTTAGTGCATTATAGCCAACCCGAAACGTATCTCATAACAATACTTCAGTATAATGATTGAAACATCAGGGGAATTTACGATCTTCGCTGTTAGTTATTTTCGCAAAATGACGAATTACTGCAAAATGAAGAATTAAACAAAATTATGCCGTTAAAATCATTTAAGAAACCAATTCCACAGTGAAAGAAAAAAATGTACTAAATAAAATGCAAAGCAATCTAAGGAACTGTCATAATTATACAAGAAAGTAATAATAATATGAATTCAGTGCCCGTATACTTCTAAGCTTACATTTTCAAAGGGAGATTGTGAAAGTGAAACTAAAATGCGACCTTTGGTTCTCTTATTTTTGTGCTTTATTTATAAGCCTATTTACGGTTCTGCCCTCCATAAAACGAAGCAGATCATAAACATTGGTTTTTATACGTACTACCTACCGCTTCGTGTAACCGTAGCTAAACATATCCCATGACTAAAATTTGTGGAATACACCGGAAAAAAGATGGCTATGTTAAAACTTATTATACTTCAATTCCTATTTTACTAAAACTACAGTGTAGTGAAACTCGTGCGTGAAAGAAAGTCCAATAATCCATCAAAATTATTCACTTGTTATAACATAAATAAATTTAGGTTACTCTTTGGGTCGCGTGACTTTTGTTTTCTAATCATAGGAAAGGTAATCATAATGTTCAGGCAACTTAACTCTACGTGAATACGTATGAGTGGTACACAACTATACTGGGCAAAGCAGGAAGTAATTACTTGTAATGGGATACATTTATTCGTTTGGCATTTAGAACGTACTTTCTGTTGTATGTCATCACGCTAGAAGCTCATTTCGGGCTAACGCCTCAATATTTTTACTTTTCTAGTTGTAGATGTAATTAGAAAAACCGGCACTAATGACGGTTGTTGTATGGAAAGCAGTAACTTAGATCGGACCTCCCACTGTGCTGGCACGCAAGAGCATGGAGCACCCGGGGGCGAGCAGCAAGCTCTCGAGTGCGCGAGCAGCGAGACAAGTGAGGAGTGACCAGCGTCTCTCATACGGGTGGAGTGCGCGTCGGAAATTGTGAATCAGGTACATAAGTTGGACGGTGAAGCGATAGATAAAATGTACGATTTTGCTGTTAATGCGACTTAAAATATAAATAATTGGAAAATATTTGGCTCCACTAAATGATCTTACAACGAGATATTCTTGCGTGTCCAAGTAAATTAGAAAGATTCAATATTTATCACTGTAAATTCGCTGGTTTTTTACCCTTGTCTTTTTCCAAGAATCAAGAATTATTGGTATTTTTCATTATACTGTTATAGAGCTTACAAATATTTAGTAAGACAGAAAAATATGATTGTAAGGAATTTAAGTGTGATTATTAAGGATTGTTGTATAGAAATTAATGAACCACAAATAGTAAGAAGATTCTGAAAAAACAAATTCTGAAAATTTTTGGCATTTATATTGTTTCAATATCTGATGTGCAATAAAAACTATTGAAAATTATCAGTATGTGTGGCAGATCCCTATACTATTATATAAGGATGAAAAGGTTTTGGAATCACTTCAACAATATGATTTCGAATTTGTGGTTGTAAAATCCATGATTTTAAAAAATTTGAGGTATAACTTCGCAGACACGTCAGTACGTTAAAATATACGTTTCGCCACGAATGGCCTGATTCGGCACCAACGGGTCGAATGAAGGTCTTCTATTAAAAATTGCATTCATGTTGGTAGAAACCAGATCACTGGGAAATAAGTGAAGGGGCGACACTTCAAGCATCTATTAAGATCGTGGTGAAAATGCAATTTACTTTTTACATGCTGCAGCTACTGCTACCATCATACTTTCTGTTGCAAGCACTCTCACCAGCTAATGCCACAGCGGAGAGACCTTTCTGGCGCGTTCTATTAGTACTGATGGTTAAGATCGGTGCAGATGTTGCGGAAGTATACGCATTTTTTACCCGAAAATCGGAATGTCCGGATGGATGGATGCCTCACGCATAAATCTTCCATTAGTCATTTGTTAGGTGCAACATGGCAAATCCGTCTGAAATAAGTTCTAGTTGTGCCATTAAGGAGTTCATTAAGATGTTTTTAATTTTTGGGGATACTCTTCATGAAGATCCTATTCCAAATTTTCTGAAAAATATCTGAAAACTGGTTCTTTAATTTTTATTGAAAAGAAGAAAATGCATTGTTGTAAAAGTGGTGTAGTTTTAATTTTTATCTGAATATTTGAAAATTGCTAGAGTTAAATTTTATTTTCGAACCTGTCGAACGCTTTCAATATGAAAACCAGATATTTCTTTCTCAATGCAAATATCCCTCAGTTTTAGATCTTTTAAATGTTGTTACGTACATTTTAAAAATATAAGTATTTGTTGAGTAATAACACTAAAAGGAGGAAAAGTTTCGGTAAGCCGCGCATACCCACTATTTCATGCGGTAAATAGAGATGGTTGATGATAGAGATTGTTGGTATCGATTAGAGTCATATGTGTGTAGACGCAGTACTTTGATTCTCGACTGAGCCAAGATTTTCGACACTAGCTATGTCGGTAGGTCGAGTTCAGTTAGCTGTCCCCAGAATTCGAGCGTCCAGCTGCTCTGATCGGTCCTTTTCCGTGGATTATCTTACTTCCCTAACAAACCACGGACTGCGCGCGATACTTCCTTCCTCTTCCTTGTCATATCCTCACCCTTTACTTACACACACACTTATATGCACTACTCCACCAAACCAGTCGGAGCTTCGAGCTTGTACCAGATGGAACATAGGCTTGCTGGTAAGAGATACCTGGTTGAGAAAAAAACCCTCACGTCGAAGTGTATGTCGCCACCAGATCTCGCCATCCAGGAGGGGAAATTACGGTCGTATCTTGCGAAAAAACATGCATTACACGTATGCGAATGTTGATCTTTAGGAGTTAACGCCCCTGGAATCACTCAACCCAATATTGGAGAGGTGCGGCTGAATCGGTTGCAGCACACTGGGCGTCGCCGGGCTAAGTGAATAACAAACAACTCCATCCAGTGATGCCGAAGCTTAGGGCCCTTTTTCGGTGCACGGCAGCGCCCGAACAGCGCACAAATCGGTAGCCCCACCTCTCTACTCCCCGCCCCTTCTCGCCACCACCCACGTCCACGTTCCCTGCTCCCTTCCCCTCCTGCCAACCAGTCCCGCGGCCCTCTCCGCGGTTCCAGTCGGATCCAGACATTATTTCTAGGGAAGGATTCAGTTCATACCTCATTGATCCTTTCGAAATAGTACTTTTTGGTACTTGCATGAAATAAAAAGCGTTCTCTGGGATTGGCGCATGGCCCCTGTTGCGTGCGCAGCTAGCTTTCAAGTTGGCCCGCGTTCTATGTTGGAGTCTATGTTGCGCCGACCATGCAAGTGCTCTGTTTATTCTGTTGGAATTGTTAGTGAACTTGTACATCTGTTGGTAAAATGGCGAACGGCTACTGACTTGGTATTTTTTCTCCTGACGAGTGGTCTACCCCGGCATTGTTTCCTGTTCGATTTGAATTGTGTCATTTTTGTAAGGTTGGAAGCTCGATAAAATGATATTGTTGGTACTCCAGTCTTCCTACTTTTTTGATGCATTTCAGGCCTCGGAGACATTACTGAATTAACCGCACTTGTGACCACTACCTCGCAGAAAACATTTCGTATCTTTATTCCATTTTGATGGCTGCGCAAACCCAGCCGCCTCCTTCACCTCACATTAACGGTCAACCCCCTGTCATTAACCTCACTACAACGGTCGCCCCTCTGAGTCACCTCCTTCGCCGCACTCCAACGGCTGTTCCCACCCTCCCACCACACAAACCTCCAACCCTCCGTATGCCTACTTTTCCCACCATGATCACACTCTCCCTCCCCATTACTTTCCGCTTTTACTCTGTCCAGACTTGCCTCCACCTATATCTGTCAATACTTCGTCCTTGCCCTTCCTCTCCCTTTCATCGTCTTCTCGTTTCTTTTTATCACGTAAGTTAGTAATTCCTTGTTTTCTCATTATTTTCCTTAACAATATTGAGTTTGGTAAATTATATTTAAACGAATTATGGCAAAGATGATG